CCCCCCTGGCCTTCGTGGCTCCAGGCCTGTGCCCTCCCTGTGGATAAGTCGCACTCGCTCTGCCTGGAGACCTGCGTGAGCTGCGGGGCATCACCCTCCTGCCGCCTGGGCTGCCACTCTCCCTTTGTCCCCTGCTCAGTGGCCTCGGCTTTGTGTCAGGCCTCACGCCGGCCATGGCAGAGGCCTGAGATGGTTTCTTGGCCTCCCTTGTCCTGTTGAGGACTTTTGTGTTTTGTTTTGTTGTAAACACCATGGCCTCCTTCCTGCTCAGGGCTGGAGAATGTGAAACCATTAGTAACGAAAAAGCAAAAAAGCTCAGGGCTCTCTGTAATGTGTCCATTTGGCTTTAGTGTGTCCTCGTGCCTTGTGGAGTGACTATATAGGAATCCTGGAACTAGCTTTTTTTCTTTCCTGTTTCATTAAAAAATGGGTTTTCAAATCCATGGGAAGCAGTAAAGCATTGTATTTTAACAGGCTCGCAACATCTCTGGGCCTTGTTATTGGAGACTTGCTCTGCAAATCCAGTAACTCGTTTTGGCTCTGGCTACAGCCAGTGTGTCCATTTCCACTCCTTATTTCTCCACGTTGACTCACTGAGCACCTCGAAGCTGGCCACCCTGACCAGCCTGGAGCCGACCACTCGTTGGCCAGCTTTATTCAAGCCAGTTGTAAATGAAGACTCAGCCTAAAGTCAATAAGTCGGAGATTAAAAGCCCTACAGTGTCCATCACTCACATAGCGGATGGCACTGCAGCCTTTCCCACCGGCACCTGGAAGTCAGTTAGAACAGGGTGTATTGGAAGGACAGCGGGTCCTGCAATGTCTCAGCACCGAGCTCTCCCTCATTGTTCCCTTATTAAATACAGCACTGCAAGTTTGGATTTTGTGTTCCCAAAGAAATGGAGGCCCCCGCGATTGATGGATCCTGGGGAAGTTGGACTCCGTTTGGAACCTGCTCCAGAACGTGTGGAGGGGGCGTCCGCACCGCTGTCCGGGAGTGCAACAGACCAGTGTAAGTCCAGAACTCCTCCCTGTCACTGCCGGGGTAGCAGGAGCGAAAAACGCCTGAAGGGAATCGTTTAGCTGGGGGCAGGCGAAGAGCTCTTTCCAAATTAAGAGAGTGGGTGGACTTCTGGGGCTGCCAAAACGAATGTTTATTATTTCCTCCAATGCTCCTTTATTATTAAAAGTTTTCTCTACCCAACAGTAGATGCGTTTGTGTTTAACAACTCTGACAGGCAGGCATAGCTCACTGCCCCCCAGAGCTTGCACGCTACTAAAGTAAACAGATAAATTTTTCCTGCGGAAACAAATAAACTGGCCATTTGCATCCAGATGATAGAGAAATGCACCCTTTGCAGTGAGCTTCTCGGATGCTGGGAAGGGTACCCAGACCCCCAAGGCAGCATTGGCAGGTCCCAATGGATCTGGAACCCCAAGCCAGGAATTACTTTTGAATCAATCTGGTTGTTTCACAGGTGAGACAACCTGACCGTTTACAGCGTGGGAGTGTCCTGCTCTTCAGGATAACCCTCGTGTGACTAGCCCAGCCTTGTTAGGACTTGCATGGCCAAGTAAAGGCAGTGGGGTTTCCTCAGCACCTATCCTGGCATGGGTTATCCTGTGTTTGCCGGGGAGGCTATTAAGCAGCAGGTTTTGAAAATTGCTCTCTTCGTTATGAGGAATGACATCCGATTTTGTGTGGCTAGAAGGTGTATCAAATTTAAAGGAATAGAAAACAATACAGGATATTATTGCCACTGAACCTATATAGGTGGGGACACCAAGAAGTCTTCACAGATTCGGCATAGTTTCTAGCTGTAGAAAGCAACAACCGTTTTTCAAGAGCCAGCTGCTTTGGGGTAATGTAAAATGATTCGCCCAGCTGTACTCATTTAGTTTTAACAGCCTGCACGCAGGAGAGCAGGTGGGATGCAGAGAGAAGCAGGCAGGTGAAGTAGCAGAGTGGGCTGGCTCAGTACAATAGGGTTGTGTTGCAGAGGGGTGGAGACTAGGTGCTGATTGGCAGGAAAAGGGCCTGCTATTGACCAAGCTTCCAGATTTTTTACAAGAAAAATCTTAGTTGTGTGAACCAAAAAACAAATAGCTGTAGGTCACTGTTGCAAGTCCTGCAAATACTCTGTAGCACAAATCACAGATGATGATCAATTAATTTTAACATATTTTTGTTCACAGCCCAACATTGAGTTCACATCCACATATTAATAGTCTCTATAGAAAACAACTATAGAGCTATGAGATATAGACTCTGATTTATAAAACTAACACTATAGCTATGTACATAAGCTAATAAACATTAGATTTGCCCATATTTAGTATTTTTTAAATAATGGTATAAAATAGTACGTGCTTTAAAAAATGTAAATACAAAAGTATATGATATAAAAACTCCTATCATTATTTCTAACCCCCAGTTACCCTCACAAGAAATAACTGCCAAAAACAATTTTATGTATTGTATGAAATAAGCATTATACAAAATCAAGATCACACTAGATAGTGTTCTACAACTTGCTTTTTAAAATCAAGTATGTAGCTATTTGCTCTGTTGAAATTTTAAAATAAAACATTTAAAGCCAACAGCAAATATGAATTTTTAAAAAATTAAAAACTAGTGGGTGGTTACAGTGAGCCAAATTATTATTATAGTAAGCTATATTATCATGAGGGTATGGATATTGCAAATAGTGACACTTTTGAAGTTTTGACTCAAGAATATTGTATTCAAAAAAAAAATATTTGTTTTTTCTTTTTTTTTTAAGCATCAGGGCAGTTCTAGAAGTGCTGTGGAAGGGAGAGAGAGATGAATCCCTCCATAATGGCCTGGGCCAGACAGACAGACAGAGTGAAGCGAAGATCCTCACATTCAGAAGTTAGGGGCCAATCACTGAGGTCGGCAGTGAGAGGCCCTTGTTCTTGCTGTTTGCCCCCAGGGGTTTTACAGGGATGCAGTCTGCCTGGCCCAGTGGCCACAGGGCCACCACCTCATTACAATGCCCGGGGCTGAGGAAGGACACTGCCTCTGAAGCGAGGTCCCAGTGGACCAGCGAGTCAGTCTGACCAGAGAAGGGGGCACAGAAACGCGAAATCAGATCCAAAACTCAGTTAAAAGCTTGTTACAGAGACATTGGCAGAGCGGATGGTTCATTAGGGACCATGGAAGCGGTTGCTGCCCTGATCCTCAGTCTGAGGGGAACCCCCTTTCCTCAGTGCCAGAGTTCAATGTCAAGCTCCAACTTCAGAATTCAAGGTTGTCTCTATTAAGAGCACTGGATTGTTTTTAATTTTTCACAGTATCCATGTGATTCAAGAATGCATTTATTTAGCATCCAGACACATTACGCTGAATGAGGATTTTTTTCCTGGAAAGTATAAAAACTGAAAAAGAAAAGTGGCCTTGCTATGCACATGGGTTGTGCCACACCCATGAGAAAGCTGTATAAACCCTATGTTTCTAATTTTAGTCCAAAATCGTGGCCTCAGGTTGTATACGGTGGTCCAGGTTTGCCGTCATGACAATGGGGCCCTAATATTTTGTCTTTAAATGCTTTATTGATTGTTCTTAATTCCATATTTGACCCAAGTCCTACAGGTAAAAGGAGCATTTGTTCTGGTTCCCATTGGCATCTCTTGTCCTGGAGAAATTCAGTAGCTCCCTTTTTTTCTATCAAAGTGCCCTGGATTGGACAATTAATTATATGGTCACCCAATCTATGAGAAATATGTAATAGGGCAAAATTTTAAATCACAACCAGCAGATTCTAACTTAGAGTGTCAGAACAAGACCGGCAATGGAACCAGAAGAGGCCTGGTCAGGCCAGTGGCCAGCACTTTTTATTTCGGGCTCTCAGTTTGGCCCTGAGCTTCCTGGTGCCTGGAAGAAATGGTTTATAGAATTGTTAACGTCCATCAAAGTAAAAAATCAAGCCAGTTCTTTAGGAACGGCAGAGTATTTCCCTCTTCTAGTGCTTCTTTTTTGCTTTTAAATTCGAAGGTAGGTTAAATTTAATAACAATAAATTCATTGATTTAAGAAAAGACAAGATAGCGAACTGGATATTTCTTATTTAGGCTTTCACCATAGCAACTGCTGATGAAATCTTACATACAAGAGAGTAGACATATATGTCTGTTTTGTCTACGAAAATCAGTCTCTCATTTGGCTGTAACAAAACTGCAGCAAAGCTCTTTGAGACACTGAGTTGGATGAACTTATATAAAAATGTCCAGAATTAGCTACTGTGGGAGGGTCATTGACTAATGAGTTAGTATCCAGTCCCAGAGGCTGCAGTCTCAGAGACTGGCCCACTTGACAGGATCCTCAGTGATGACTAGTGCTGCTTCCTGGCTCGTCCCATCAAATCCCCGAATAGCTTTTCAGCATCCTCTGCAGTTGGTCATTTAACTCCTTAAAACCCTCCAAACTTAAGAAATACACTAGCTTCGGGGGCTGCTGTTGTATTCTTAGAAATTTCTGCCTTGTGCTGACCCTAATCTGCCTGCCCTAACTCATTGTAAGTAAACATAGAAGTCAAGATTTCTGTTTAAAGCCATTTGCAGACTAAAGGTTGGCTTCCCTTGATGGTAGAATGCACCTGTGATGGTCCTTGTAAAATGCCTTCATCTTTGGCTGTGCAGCATTGCGAATTTTCTTTGTTATGTATGAGTAAGCATGGTTGTGTAATATGTGCTGGAAGGGAAGATTCAGCATAGCTGTGCTGAGTATAGTTACTTTCATAGTAATTAATCTAACAATTTCCTTAAGTCCTTTTCATCCCTATTTGACATGCTATATTTTTAAAGGATCTTAATGGTTGGAAAATGTGGTTAATATTTTTTCAAGTTGCATTTCCTATAATTTTCAGAATTTTCCTACATGGAAAAAATACGCCTACCCAGCTAAATTACTAAAGTGTAAAATGAAATTTTCCGGGCTGAAAGGTAAGTTGGCTAAAGCCTTCCCCATTAAACAATACATGCAAGGCAGGCCGAGATTGAATTGGCTGGGATATAAGATAAGCCATATATTTCAAAAGGGCAAATTTACGTTTATTAATCAAATATAATCTGCCTTTATTATAAAAAGCAAATAAGATCAGAGGACGAGTTTTGATATGAAAAGAGTCCTGTTTCAAGAGAGGAGGCCTAGCAGTGAGGCCAGATGATGAGTGAAAGGTCAGGGGGACGGGGTTGGTCTCGGCCAGCACATCTCACTTAACTGGCATGTGACCTTGACAGAATGCTTAACATTTCTGAGCCAATTTGTCACAGTTTCAGACACCAGAATGCCACTGCCCACCTCAGAGTGTGTCCCTGCACACTCAAAAGAATAGCTCAGGGCCAGCACACTCTTTCCATAAACGAATACTTTTTCTGTAAAATTTCATAAGTATTTTAGACTTTGAGGATCTTAGTGGCTGTGTTCCAATAAAACTTTATTTATGAACACTGAAATTTTAATTTCACCTACTTTTTATGTATCTCTATTTTTAAAAAAATTTTTAAACTATTCTAAAATGTAAAAAAAACACACATTATTTTCTCGCTGGCTATGTAAAAAAACAGGTCGCAGGCCAGATTTTAGCCCATATGCTGTTGTTCATAGACCCTTGTAATAGCTCAGCATTTATCGTGTGGCGGGCCTTACTCAAGTGCTTTGAATGGATTCACCCAGTTGACTCTCCCTGAGCCGATGAAGCAGACAGTAGCATCATCTCCCTGTTACAGGAGGGGAGCAGGCTTAGAGATGCAGCGCCTTGCCTAAGATTGCTCTCTCAGTAAGAGGCAGGGCTGGGATTCAAACCCTCTGTAGGGTCCGACTTGATAACCTCAGAAACATGGCCTCTCACATAGAGTGTTTTCTATGAGTTGTTCATAAAAATGTCATTTATAGCCTGGCCAGCATGTCTCAATGGTTGAACATTGACCTATGAACCAGATCATGGTTCGATTCCCAGTCAGGGCACATGCCTGGGTTGCAGGCTCTATCCCCAGTTTGGGGTGTGCAGGATGCAGCCGATCAACGATTTTCTCTCATCATAGATGTTTCTATCTCTTTCTCCCTCTCCCTTCCTTTCCAAAATCAATAAAAATATATTTTTTTAAAATGTCATTTATAAAAATAAATCACTAAATGCGATTTGCCATTTGATAGTGGTCAAAGCAGGCAAAGGTGGAAGGTGTCACCATCTGCAGGGAAGCCACCTACAAGTATTAACTCTTTGCAGCCCAAAGAACTGCTGCATTTGGTCAGTTGCAAGAGTCAGCTACTCATTAGGTAACAGAACCCCCCCCCACCACCACCAAAAAAAATCAACTTTTAAATGTATTTTCCAAGAGAAAGAGATGTGAATTATTTTCAGGCAACAAATAAATGATCCATCCACTAGAGTTAGTTGGGGCATTTAAAACGATGCACAAAGATCATTTCAATTTGAGGGAAATGTGAAGGGGCTCTTCCTTGTAGCACTTTTAAAACAGGCTTCACCTGCAGAGCTATGTGGGCCTGAGCTATTATTCATGCATAACCTGACATTGTATGTATGAGACTTGGGTGCCTTCATAATGAGAGAAGAGCTTGGTATTCAGGAAACTGAGGCTGTATCTCTAAGTGGCATCAAAAGAGAAAAAGAAAAGATTCCGGGCCATAGCTCCAGATAGTGTAGCAGAAAGAGCACAGAGCAAGGACCTGGGAAACGTGACCTCTACTCCTGTCTCTGCTCTCTTATTAGCTGTGTGACCTTGGGCAAAGTACTTAACTTCTCTGAATGCATGGTATTTAAGTACCTCTGTGTTTCTCTTGGGCAAAGCATGCGTGCGTTTGGCTAGTCAAATGTACAGTGCAGATTAAAAGCTTATGGATTTAACTGTGTTTAATGGGAAAACAATCAGACAGATACTGCTGGGTTATGTGTCATTTCACATATCTAGATGCAGTCTTCTTCATGGTAACTATTCATAATAAGCTTTACATGTGCAGGACAGAGCTCAGAGAGGCCAGGGGACTTATACAGAAGTGCTCAGCTGTAACTGCGAAGCCCACGCTCTTACCTAACTCCACAATCTCTGATCGAGGGACCACATTAATGACAGTGTCCCGGCCAGGTGGCCCTGCCTGAAGCGCGGGCACGCTGCAGGAGCACCGCATCCTGCCTCGGGATGCAAGCCACGTTGTCGCTCGCATTTGCCTCTCAAACACGCAAACTGCTGACCTGGATCGGTTAGGTTGGCAGTGCTCACATGCACCTCACAGTAGTTAACCTTCCAGGCGTCCACTGTGCGCAGACGTTAGAGAAGGAGAGAACTGAAGTGCAGGGAGACTAAAAGCGTTGTCTATGGTCACTTGGCGAGGATGCGGCCAAGAGCGGAGCCCAGATCCAACTCCTACCTGCTCCTCTGGGCTGCCTCTCTGGGCTTGGAGACATTTCCCATTCCTCCAGGGCCTGGTTTTACAAAACAACAAAAATACTTAGGGTCTAAATCACTCTGAAAGATTCATTCCGCAGAAGAGAGGTGGAAAGGTGAGAGAGGTGTCCTAGGGTGGCAGAGAAATCTGAGCTGTACCAGCCCCGGGTGGGTGAGCCAGACTGCCTAGGACTCTGATCTTCCAGTTTCCATGATGAACTTGGCAAGCTGCTGACTGCTGGGAGACGTGTTGTATAATTTACTCTCCGGGTCACATCTGGAAAGTACATGCACGGGTTGCATGCAGAGATTAAATTTGCACTGTGATGCTTTGCAAGCCAGACTCCATACTCTTGCCGTACAAAAGGCAATGAAGCCAGTGTGCTCTCCCGCTTCTATTAAGTTAGTGGAAATATGGGCACATTTATTCCCTTTATTCCATCTTATTTGTAAAACAAACAGACACAATGGTTATTGGTGGGAAGAGAGGATGGAGGGCATGAATGGGGGTGGGATGCAAAGGTTTAGGGTGGTTTCCCAGGAGACTATCAGTAGGAGAGGCAGACAGGGAGCATTCTAACTACTCATCTGTACCTTTTACCTTTTACCTTTTTGAAATCTAAGGACTAACTGACTGGGAGAAAGGCGAGAAAATGGGCTAATCGATTCCAGCCTTCGAATTTTATACTTTAAGTTATACACTTAAAACAGCCTTATCAAATAGCACCTTTCCATTTTACAGATGGGAAGACTGAGGCTCAAGGTTAAGTGACTTGTCCAAGGTTAGACGGTTAAGGGTGTTGAAGGCAGAGTGCAAACGCAGACTTCAGAGCCCTGGCCCTGTTCCCTGTCACCGGCCACTTCAAATGTCCTTCCCTAGAAGACCAGAAGCCACGGGCGAGGGAAATACCTTATAAAACAACGTGTGTTCTTTCCCTTTGCTCAGGCCCAAATACGGTGGAAAGTACTGTACGGGGCGCAGGATGAAATTTAGGTCCTGCAACACGGAGCCGTGTCCCAAGCAGAAGCGCGACTTCCGAGAGGAGCAGTGTGCTCAGTTTGACGGGAAGCACTTCAACATCAACGGGATCAGTCCAACCGTGCGCTGGGTGCCCAAGTACAGCGGAAGTGAGTTCGCGGTGGGGTGGTCCGGGGGCCCAGGGCGTCCCAGCACGAGGCACACTGCACTCACGGTGTGTCTCCTCTAGTTTTGTTGAAGGACCGGTGCAAGCTGTTCTGCAGGGTGGCCACGAGCACAGCCTACTACCAGCTCAAGGACAGAGTGGTGGACGGGACCCCATGCAGCCAGGACACCAGCGATATCTGTGTCCAAGGCCTCTGCCGGGTAAGTCCCCGCTGGTGTTTCCGTCACTGTTGTCTGGCTGCCAGGCTGTGGTCTGTGGCTTTCTTGATGGAGTAGCAGCTGCTAATACCTGTGCACTGCCTCCGGGCAGTGGTTGTCCAAGTGGGGTCCCCAGAGCAGCATCAATACCCCTGAACCTGCTGCCGTGGATTTTTCTTGATATTCTCAGCCCCTCAGGGGCCTGCACAGAACTTCCCTGTGAAGGTGTCTTGCAACAGTTTCCCCACACACTCCTTCACCGTAACCTCAGTGCTTAAGGTTAAACCCAAATGCTCCCTGGCAGCAGTTTCTAGATTGACTAGCTCTGCGCCAGGGTGGTCTGGTGAGGAAGGGCTGGCCTCACTCAGATTCGTCTTTCTGATTTTAAGCAGGATAGCTTCTACCTGAGGCACACCTGTCATTTACTCTTCGAAGGGAAATCGAGACACTTCTGGCCGATGGTAAAGCATCAGAGCAGTGATTTCTCAGGGGCTGATCCCATTTCACTGTGCTCACCAGTCACAGATCATCCCTAGCACAGCCAGGCTAGGAGATGACCTGTGTGTTCCTTGCTCCTGGTCACTGGCAGATTGGATTCCTAATCGGAGGATTCGACTGCAAGAGCCCCTGAGGGCGCCCCCCACGCCCTGCTCACGGCTGACAGTGCAGGTCCTCCTTGTCAGCGTATTTTGTGGCAGCGCTGGAGTTCCTCCCTGAAGACTGGATCCTACAAAGGAACCAGATGGGCAGGAATGTGAGCGCCGCCCCCCTGGTCTCCGGGTTGCTGCTGGTGTCCTCAGAGCTCAGGCTACACTGCTGCTTTGCATTGAGACCTAAAGACATTCGGGAGGCCATTGGGAGCCTCAGGCCTCAAAGGGGTCTGCAGCCATTGCTGGCCTGCACTCATCGGCAATACTTAAACAGGCGGTTTCACGCCAAGTACATGTTCCAGCTTGTCTTGGACAATTGGGAGATGTCAGCACTGGGCGCCAGTGGGCGTGGCTGGCGGCGGTGGCCGCAGTGGGCAGCGCTGCCCCTTCAAGATTGGATGTGATCTCTTTAATTGGATACAGTCCTCACTGCTCCATTTCCCAATCCCAAGTGGGCTTTTCATTTACTCAATTTATTTGTGGGCTAGTGCTCCTCAAACTCGAATCTGTAGGTGCAACACCTCAGGAGCTTGTTAACATGCCAGGACATCTCCCCGAGTCGGCAGATCTGAGGGTGCTCGCAAATCTGCACATCCGACAGGCTCAGGGTGCCCTGGGCTGCTGGCCTCGACCACGTTTCCCATAGCAAGTTTGACTTAATTTTCTTGTCATTTTGAATGTCCAGCATGCAAAGAAGCACATTACTTGTTGTTTTATCATCTTTATAATAATTACCACTTATTTCAAATGTTTTCTTTTTAAAAGCAAGCTGGATGCGATCACGTTTTAAACTCGAAAGCCCGGAGAGATAAGTGCGGGGTGTGCGGTGGCAATAATTCTTCATGCAGAACAGTGGAAGGAAACTGGACCCTAGCAGTACATTATGGTAAGACTCTGTTTCTAACTCCCACGAGAAGGAAAATGGTCACCATTTAAAAAATTGCTCACCTTGTGTAATATGTAAGAAGTAATAATGTCAAGCGTAAAATCAGTCTTGTGAAGGTACGTTACCCACCTGGCTATAAGGCACCTAATGAGTGAGAGTTATAGTGTATTCCTTTGTTGCCCGTATTTTATTCCAGGCTTAGAGAGATGAGCCATGCTGTGGAACACTGAACTTCTGCCCAATTCTTTTCAGGTTATAATCTCGTGGTCCGAATTCCAGTGGGTGCTACCAGCATCTATGTGCAGCAGAAGAGTAACTCAGGAAAACTGGAGGACGATAACTACTTAGGTGAGATGGGTGCCCCTGCCACGGGCAGGAATTCTTGTTTTCTGGAGCAGTTGGTGGACACTTCCCTTCCTGCGTTTCACACGGAGAGCTTTCCGGTGTCAAGTATTTTCACAAAAGAAGTTGGTCTTGAAATTCACTTATTTGATTTCTCCCACATATATAGACTCTCAGAGTATTGATGTAAGATTCATGTAGTTATATCAGTCAATATTGAGGGATTTACTCTGGATCTTAGAAAATAGAAAGGCCCTAAATCAAAATTTTTAAAGCATTTTTTAATCGATTTGATTTGAGAGAGAGAGAGGAAGTGAGATAGAGAGAGAAACATCAATCGGTTGCCTCCTGTATGTATCCCTACTGGGGCTCAAACCTGAAACCTAGGTATGTGCCCTGATGGAGGATCGAACCCACCACCTTTTGGTGTTTGGGACGATGCTCCAACCAACTAAGCCACACTGGCCTGGGCCCTAAATCAAATTTTCAAAGTACTTGTCTTGTAAGTTTAGCATAAAATCATTGCTTTGAGTCTTTTTCAAAAAATCTGTCCTGTGGATAACTGACTTACAAAGGTTTTATTAGAGGTATTACCTGACTCAATGTTAATGTTCTCGACTCTAACCAAAAGTGGACTACTCAATATTTGCTTACAGCTGGTCATTCCAAAAGGTTCTATAGTGGCAATATTTTTCTTGTGTCATGACTAGGCCCGTCTGGTTACTTTACCGATTCTTCATCCTTCTCTCCCCACACTCAGGCATGTGATTAGCTCATACCTATTCCTTATATTGAAAGCACAGCACCCCGACAACCTTGTGTTCACTTTCAACAGTGTGCTCAGCCAAGTCCCACTCCAATTTATCTCATTCCAAAAACTGCAGTAAGTGATGAGGAAATTTGCCAACCATTTTTAATTAAAAGAAGGACATGGGAGAGGGGTCATGACTGAGAGGATTCGGCTGGTCACCTGGCCCCACCATACCCCTGCCCGTGAGAGGCAGCATGCCGGCACCGCACTCAGATCTGGGGAGATCGGGCAGCCCTGTTGGCAGTCAGGTTAAAGGAAATGAGTGTGCTAATGGGCTTTCTCCTACACTGTCCAGACGGGAACTGTTTATCCACCTGAATACAGCCTCTATGGGAGGCTGCCTCCAAACACTCGCCATAGTGAGCTAGTACATGAGTCTTAGTTGAATCTATATTTTGGAATGTCTGCATGAAATCCTTCCTAAGATAGACAGTGACCCTTTAGTCAAGCAGGCTCATCAACTATAACATTTAGACATGACTCCATTATAGCATTTTCTGTGTGTGTGTCATTCATTTAATTAGTCATTCAATAATGTGTGCTAGGCACAATAACAAAAACAAACAAAAAATTTAAAATAGGAATCTCCTTTTTCTTGGAACTTACTTTTTAGTAGGAGCAGATCAGTGATTTTTCAACCTTTTTCATTTCATGACATACATAAACTAATTACTAAAATTCTGTGGCACACCAAATAATATATTTTTTGCCAATCTGACCAAAAAAAAGGTATAATTTTGATTCATTCACAACAAACGGGTATTGTTGTGTTGGTTGTTGTCATTTTTTTTAAATTTGATGATCTGAAGGAAAAGAGGTCAGTGCCCTTGACTAAATGGCATTGCCTGTTTTAAAAATTCTTGTGGCATACAGGTTAAAAATGGCTGGGGTAGATAGACAATAACGTAAAAATGAGCAAATAATATACTGTTAGAGGAGGATATGAGCGATTAGAAACCAGAGCAGCATGAGGGAAACCGGGATCCTGAGGGTGAGCTGGGAGCAGTGGCGTTGAGATATTTGAAATGTAGCAGAGATAACAACACACCTGGCAGAAGAGCATTCCCAGCAGAGGGAACAGACAGTGCAAAACCCTAGAGGAGGAGCATGTCTGGATTGCTCCGAGAGCAGAAGGAGGCCACTGCGGCTGGAGCTGAGAGAGTGCAGAGGAGAGTCCTAGACGAGGTTCAACAAGTGTCAGGACTAGATCACAAAGGGCCATGTAACCATTGCAAGGATTATACTGAGACATGGGGTACTATGGTGTTTTGAGCCCAGGAATAGCATGATATAATCATATTAGAGGCCCGGTGCATGAATTTGTGCCCAGTGGGGTCCCTCAGCCTGGCCAGCGATTGGGGCTGAGGGGGGTGGGGGGGGCGGCCAGCCAGGGGGAGGGCAACTCCTGCATTGAGCATCTGCCTCCCAGTGGTCGGTGCACATCATAGCAACTGATCACTCAATTGTTTGGTTGCTTAGGCTTTTATATATATGGATTTATTTTTCAAATGAGCACTCTGGCTGTATGTTGAGAATAGGTGGCAGGGGAGGGTAGGGGGCAGAAGCAGGAAGGCTGGTTGGGAAATTACTGCAATAATCCAGGAGGTGCTGGTGGCTTGACCCCAAGTGGGGCAGCAGAGGTGTGGCACGTGGTAGAACTCTGGGTATCTTGTGAAGCCAGAGGCATCCTGGTTTGTTGATGGACTGAATGTGGCCTGTGAGAGAAAGAGGGGGGCTTCAGGGTTTGGACCTGAGCAACTGAGGGGAGGAAGTGCCATCCACTGAGACAAGACGGCTTGTTGCTTCTTTCTCCCCATGAGCATGAGGTTTTAAGGTCAGAGGCTGTGTCGTTATATCTTTAGCTCCTGATACAAAGCCAAACACAAAGTAGGTACATGGTTGCTGAATTGGGAACAACCATTGCTCATGCTGTCTTTATGGAGTGCCCACTGTGTGCTCCTGGGGAATGGGGTTACCATGGAAATAGACAGAATCGCTCCTTCTTTTAAAGACCATAACGTCTCACTTGAAATCAGTCACTCAGTGGCTGCACAGCTTTCCACGTCCAAGTATCTAGATGAGTGGTGACTTTATAAGACACTTAACAAAGTTCTTGGGGTTTCTTTTCAAGTTATTTTTTTGGCAATCTTCGTTCCTCATCCCACCACCGTGCAAAATGGGTCGAGCACTTTTCTTCATGAACTGGGTTATAAATTTGAGCATGTGGCCTCCCTACTTCCTCATCACATCAGCAGCATCACATACAACCTCCTGTATAAACTAATTTCCTGAGAGCGAAAAGCCATGTTGACCTCCTCCTTTCTTTTCCTTGGAAGGGAGAGTGGTTCTCCCTTATTCTCCTCCTTCCTGGAAAAGTAATCTCTTTCCATGTAGGGGCCTCAATTCCATTCAGCTTCATCCACCAGGTCAGGCGCCTGGATTGAGGAGGCCTCCTGATAGACTTTTATTCCTCACGGGAGGTTTCTTAATCTTTTGTAAAGAATGAAGTCATCTGCGACAGGCGGTCTGAGGCAGTCATGGCTCTTTAAAGGGACATACGGTAAAGTCACCTGTGAGCAGAAGGACGTCTCTCTGGTCACACCTGAGAAGTGTGCAGGCCTGGAAGTCGCCGTTCACGGAGCGTGACCACTGGCACCTCGGAGCCTTTGAACCCTGCAGTGGGTTAGGAAGGGAGGGATGCCATCAGATCTGGCGTGTAGAGGTTTGCTCTTGGCTTGCAGGAAGGAGCAGTAAGTGCTCAAAGAGCCCATGCCCAGCTGTTCCGTTGCTAAGCAACCTTCATCCTTATCCTTCCTGATGTGTGAAGGCCAGCCCAGCCACAGTTCATCCGCATGTTTTGGTGATGGAGCCGCTTCCAAGGGAGAGGGCCTTTGGGAGAGCCCAGCTCTGATGGGGAACATGGGGGGAAGGAAGCCAGGAAATTAGCTCCCCTAATCGAATTAGTGGGAGGCTGGGCAATCCACTGTTGTTTTCAGGAAATGATTCCATCACAAGGTACCGAAGCAGAAAGTCTCCCTGTCAAAGGTCACCCTTTCACACACACCTTCCCTCCTGTTGGGTTGCAGTCCCCCTGCCCCCAGAACCACAAGGATGCTGTTTTTTGGTTTTTGGTTTTTGAGAAAAAAGCCGTTGCTGTGATACTTACTTGCCTCTAGTACACTTAGCACCGGATTAGCTGTGGCAGTGGGAAGACAGGGATCGATCTGGCTCAAGGTAAAGCAGGAACGTCATCTCACCTGGTGACCCCCATCTCATTCCCTGCTCACCGTCTTTGGGACAAGGAGATGCAGTGAAGGTCGGAGCCTTTGAACCCTGCAGTGGGTTAGGAAGGGAGGGATGCCATCAGATCTGGCGTGTAGAGGTTTGCTCTTGGCTTGCAGGAAGGAGCAGTAAGTGCTCAAAGAGCCCATGCCCAGCTGTTCCGTTGCTAAGCAACCTTCATCCTTATCCTTCCTGATGTGTGAAGGCCAGCCCAGCCACAGTTCATCCGCATGTTTTGGTGATGGAGCCGCTTCCAAGGGAGAGGGCCTTTGGGAGAGCCCAGCTCTGATGGGGAACATGGGGGGAAGGAAGCCAGGAAATTAGCTCCCCTAATCGAATTAGTGGGAGGCTGGGCAATCCACTGTTGTTTTCAGGAAATGATTCCATCACAAGGTACCGAAGCAGAAAGTCTCCCTGTCAAAGGTCACCCTTTCACACACACCCTCCCTCCTGTTGGGTTGCAGCCCCGCTGCCCCCAGAACCACAAGGATGCTGGTTTTTGGTTTTTGTTTTTTGAGAAAAAAGCCGTTGCTGTGATACTTGCCTCCAGTACACTTAGCGCCGGATTAGCTGTGGCAGTGGGAAGACAGGGATCGATATGGCTCAAGGTAAAGCAGGAACGTCATCTCACCTGGTGACCCCCATCTCATTCCCTGCTCACCGTCTTTGGGACAAGGAGATGCAGTGAAGGGTGAAGGGTCGGGTCAGCAAGAGCATGAGAGGAAGCCTGGAGACATGGGACAGGAGCCCAGAGCCCCCTAGAATAAACGGTTGCTCTTTGAATAGGAGCAAAACTGGATTACAGCTTCATTTACAGACTGGCCTGGTGACACCTTATTTCCTTTTCGTGAAACATCAGCTGGGTGGCTAGAAGCGACTTCACTTGAAAAACTGGGTGATGTTGGCAGCATGCCCTGCCATCACCATGTAAGGGACCCACATTAGGAGTCTCCGGATGCCCTGGTGCCATGGAAACGACTTCATCTCCAATCAGTGACCCGTTGAAACTCGTGCGTCTCGCTGGGCTGGTGGGGCTCACGCTGCAAGGGCTGCAGGAGAGATGAGGCTGCCAGGGGCTCACACTGACAAGGAAACAGTCATTTGGCTGGAAGCACTCTGCCTCCTTGTCTTGATGTCAGGTTCAGCCAATCACTCGTCCTTTAACATCATTGATTGAGCCCCTACTGGGATCTTTCTCGACCTTAGAAACGTGCATTTTTAAATGGTCACTTTACTAACATGGCTCCTGCAGTCTAGCAGCAAACAATTTACATTTTTTAAAAATGTGTCGCTATATATATTTGGGTTGTATTTGTACACACGAGGAAGAATACCTGAATTTGTGTTTGTTTGTTGACGTCCTTCTTAGAAAACGCTAGTGGTTAGCAGGCTTTGGAGACAGGCTTCCTTGACACGAGTCCTGCCTTGGGAGGGTACTTGCTGATATTTAAGTCACGCTTTCCTCGTCTATATTAGGCATCGATAGCGGCCTGACAGGGAGACGATGCATGTAAAGGCATTCTGATCTGCCAGGAACGGAAGCCGGTGTGTCCTGTCGTATCTAACATTCTTAACAATCCTATGAGAAACCCATTGTACAGAGGAAGAAATTGAGGCTCAGAGAGGTTAAGTAACTCACCCAAGGTCACACAAACAGAAGGGGAGAATTGTATTGCTTTTTGGTCTGACTTCAGACCCTACACATCATTGTATTGCCTCCCTGTAGAAAAACATATGGCTGACCGGACCTGGGGATACACATGACTGGAAATTGAGATTTATCGGTGGGAGTGAATGGTGAGGCTGGAAAAATAGGTCAGGATAAGATTTGTGAAGGTACAGAAAGTTATCCTAGGGAATGTGAACTGAATTCTGTAGGCGGTAGGGATTGCCAAAGAATGTTGAGCTAAGAAGAAGCAGCCATAGTGTTGGAGGTTTGTTGTTGTTTTTTTAAATCTTTTTTAAAGCTTTTTCCCTGTCTCCACGTTCTTCCCCACCATTTCAAATGAAGGCATCGTATGCTTCCCTCAGGGCCCAGATGGGGCTCCCAGGATGGGAATTCCAGTAGAGAAGTGCTGGATTAGGGACAGAATTCCATGCAGTTAATTCCTGACCCTGCAGAGTCTTTGCATCAGGACAGTGTCCAGCTGAGGGAGCTCTGGGAGGTTCGCTGAGGGAGCTCTGGGAGGTTGCTGCTCCTGCGCTGCAAGAAGCACTCAGCGCTCCCCTCAGCCCGCGTTCATCTCCTCCACATGGGGCACCGTGCCTTCTCTCCCTACCCTCTAACCCTCCTACACACACGCTGCTTCTGCCCGCGTGGGAAAGTGCGCTACCTGCCTCAGTGAAAGACGGGCAAGGACCTGACAGGCAAACACTTGGCCCCTCCTCATCTCACAACCAAGACAGATTGTCATGAGCATGTTGCGGAGACAGGAAGCTGCAGGGACCCTGTCCTGTGTAGGTTCTTGGGCAGCTAGTACCAACCCATGGCCATGGGTGCTGGGGCGAAACCTATTTGCTATCTATGCGTTAAATGTCCGTGTTCCTTTTATTCACCTACACTCATGGCCTGGGTATTTCAAGGGCTCCCTTCCTGCTGAGATTTGCTAGTCAGGCACAATTTACAAAAGGTGAGGGGCCTTTTCTCTAGTGTTTTCTGCCGAGCCCGCATGTTTGATAGCTCTGATTTGTTGAGTGCCTGTTTCACGTCCAGCCCAGTCCTCCAGAGGATTCATTATCCAGGGAGCAGGGCCACTGGGAAAACCGACTGGTACTTCAAACCAAAACTTTAATAATAAGTACGAGGGGGAAAGAGGTGATTAGGATTTTATCCTGAGAAATTAGTCAAAAAGTATGAGAATACATTTATTTTTTCTTATGTTTATGTTCTACAAGATTACATTTTAATTTTTATCGTGCCCAGTTTTATAGATGGAGACTAACGCGGTTGGTAAATATTTCTGCCAAAGTTTCCCACTCAAGTCATGATGTCAGGGTGGTGCATTCTTTCCTTGCCATCTGAATTCAACAGTCATCTCTGAGAGGGAGTCCCTTCTTAAGAACTTTCTGGGGCTTTATTCACTCTCTCCTGACACTTGATACATAAATTATTCCTCGGAAATCAGCCGCCATCTCATCTTCCTTGTCCATTTTCGGTCCATTGTGTACCTTACTCACGGGTCCGACTGACTGTCATGTTCTTCGTTGGCTAATGTTTCGGCACTTGACTCAGGCAGTTCTCCAACATTATTTTTCCAGCTTCACTGATTGTTTCCTCTTTTGTAAGATATGCAGTATATTCATTCATTCTGCCAAAGAAAGTATGTATTAAGCACCTACCAAGTGCTCTCTGGAAGCTGGCATATACATAGTAGCCAACAAGACGGTCCCCAGTTCCTCGTCAGGGGGCCTACATTCTCGTTTGGGGAGGAAAGCATAAACAGTGCTGTGGCGAGAAACGCAGGTGGGAAACGGTGTAGGAAATGGAGATCTGTGCTGGTGGTGGGAGGGATGGCCGTTTGCAGAAACTAGTGGTTCTGTTGAACAGCTTTTACTGTTTGAAGAATGATCTCAAAACGTGTGGCTTCGCAGAACAGATACAGACGGTCTCCAGATTTTGTGTGTCAGGAATTCCGGGGCAGCACGGCTGCGTGTTTCTGGCGTGATGTGTCTGTGCATCTGAAAGCTTGACTGGGGCCGGCAGATCCACTTCCCAGGTGCCTCCCTTGGACCCGCTGGAAGAGGCCTCAGTCCGCATTGCTGTTTGCAAGAAGGCCCTCGAGGGGGATGGTTAGGCTTCCTTACAATATGGCAGCTGGCTTTTCTTCCTGAAACCAGAGATGCAAGGAAGAGCAGGGCAGAGCCACATGCCTTTGACCTGGCCTTGGAAGTCACACTGTCATTTCTGCAGTGTCCTAGTGACTACATGGTCAGTGCTATTCCATGGGGGAGGGGATGACCCACGAGGTGAGTTCCAGGCGGCAAAGGTCACTGGGCCGAATTGGAGGCTGACCACTGCTGTGGGCCTCATGGAAAAGGTGGCATTTGAGCACACATGTGGCAGATTGGCCATGGATTTTCAGGTCTCCACATCTGTCACACAAAGAAGACTGACCAAGACTTCATGAGCCCGAGTAACGCCAATGTGAAGAAGGGAGGGATATTTGCGTGGGGATCCGTTTTGTTAGTGTTCAATTCATTGTACCTGTTTTTACATCATGACACTCTTGTTTCCATCTCTAACCTTGTCATGGTGGGGCTTGTATAACAAATCTTAGGCTAATCAGGATGCTTAGATTTCTCTTACCCTTGAGAGGCGCCTTGAAGGGTAGGTGTTGTTTTCTCTGTCTTAGAGATAAAGAAATGGAGACTGAGGTGAGGACGTGATTTCCCAAGGCCCTGGAGCCAGCAAGTGGCAGAGCTAGGATTGGAGTCCATGCCTGTTTGCCTGAGAAGTCCATGTCCTTTGCACTCTGACTCCTTATCCAAGCATCATGCCATTGTTCATCAGGGAGCCATTGGCGGCAAATCAGTGGGATTCTGTTTTCTTACCTACAGCGCTATCGAACACCGATGGCGAGTACTTCATAAATGGGAACTTCGTTATCACAATGGCCAAGAAGGAGATCCGCATTGGGAAGGCTCTGATCGAGTACAGTGGCTCCGAAACCGTCACAGAGAAACTCAACTGCTCAGGCCGCATTGAACAAGAACTCCTGATTCAGGTAAACGCGTGGCCACAAGCCCACAGCCCTTTGCTTCCACTCGGGCCAACCAGGCATGCAAACACCATGTCCATTTTGTCTGCACATCGCAGGTGCTGGCGGTGGGGCAGTTGTTCAACCCCAATGTGTACTACTCTTTCAATGTCCCCATCGAAGACAGGCCCCCGCAGTTCTACTGGAACAGTCATGGGCCCTGGCAGGCCTGCAGCAAACCTTGCCAAGGTATCAGCTTTCCAGTTGCGTTTGAGGGATGTGAGGTAACCTTTTAGTGTGTTCACTTTTCCAGTTTTATCGACATATAATTGATATTACAACATTGTATGTTTAAGGTGTACGATGTAATGATCGGATATATTACAAAAGGATCACCACCATAAATTTAGTTTTCACCCATCATCACACATAGCTACAGTTTTATTTCTTGCAATGGGAACTTCTAAGATCTAATCTCTGAGCAACTTTCAGATATACAACACAGTGCTGTTAACTGCGGTCACCATGCTATACATTACATTCCCAGGACTTATCTATCTTCCAATGGGAAGTTTGTAGCTTTGACCACTTTCAACCCATTTTGTCCATCACTACCTCTGACCCACACCTCTGGTAACCACTAATCTCATCTCTGTTTTTCTGAGCTTGGTTTTCTTTTTAGATTCCACAGTTCTTCTTTCTATATATATCTGACTTAGTTCACTTTGAGGTATTTTTGAGTTAAAAAAAAGAATTGCAGTGTTTTTAAATATTTTTAAGAAACAGGCAAATACATGCTGTTTATACAACTTTCTATCTGCCTGCATTCTCTGCTGTGCATTCTCTGAGTCTGTCCAACACATGGCTGCATGGTAAGCTTGCTGAGGGCTGAGGGCTCTGTTAGCTTTCCTCATCTAAGAGTTTCACACACACTGGGAAGCCAAACCAATAGGCTCTGTCACTTTCCAGAAACATCAATTTAGTAGTCGTATGACATATTATTTATTGTGTTTTCTTTTGTCTGAATTAGGTGTTGGAAAACCACAGACAGGGGGCCAATTTCAGCCTACCCTCTGCTTTTATAAATAAAGTTTTATTGGAACACAGACACACTGCTTGTTTATATACTGTCTATGAGCAGCTGCTTTTGTCCCATAATGGCTGAGCTGAGTTTCAACAAAGGTCATTAGGCCCACAAAACCCAAACTATTTACTATCTGACCTTTTATAGGAAATGTTTGCCAAGCCCTGGTCTGAACAGTTTATGGAATAGGTTACTCTCTCTGACTAATTTTCCCCCTGCTTAGGAGAGCGGAAACGAAGACCCGTTTGCACCAGGGAGTTCAATCAGCTCATAGTTTCTGATCAAAGGTGTGATCGGCTGCCCCAGCCAAGCCCCATCACTGAGCCCTGCGGCACAGACTGTGACCTGAGGTAAGGCCTGTGTTTCATCATGGTCTTTACTCCCGAGCTGTGGGGGTCTGGCCGGAGGTCTCTGGGTGAGCAGCAGAAGCAGGGGTTGTTGGTCTTTCATCCCCATCCTTGTGTTTCTGTGAAATGGAGATTATCCAACACACACACCTGCACATGTCTTATTCCTCTTTTTTAAGAATTAAAAATAGCTAGTAAACTATGGCACTTGCCAAAAGCAGTTTTCATTTGACCCTCACAATTCACTGTGTAGGTATGGTATCACTATGATTGCATCACATCTTATGCAAAAGTTTAGTTTGAAAATCAACAGAAAAGGGGGAAACATTATCCCTTGAAATGCCTAGAAGAGTCTGTAAACACCCAGAGTGTATACACCCCAGGGGAGCTCTTATGCACATGAAAGTTGCAATGCACTAAGGCAAGGTGGACTCATAGAAGGAGTTGGAAGGAAATCTGTATGTAGCTGTCTAAGGATCCAAACAATTCTGCATTTAAGTCTGAAATCTAAGGCAAGAAAGGGTGAGTGGGTGGAGAATGCTATAGTTTTCCCATTTGCCTATAAGCTTGATTGTAACACGTTTGAATATTAAGTAGCCTGGAGGTTGCATTGTATAGTCTACATATTAGTTAAATGCAGATAAGATGAGTTGGTGCTTTAGTCTCCTTTGACAGAAAAGAATCTAAAGTAATAAAAGACAAACATGCAAATTGACCGTACCTTCTCTACACCTTAGCCATGCCCACCAACCAATCAGAGCGACTATATGCAAAGTAACCCAACCATGATGGCGGCTGGCAGCCACAGAGCTGGAGCAAGCAGGAGGCTTGGTTGCCCCAATGATGGAGGAAGCCAAGCTTCCTGCTTGCTGTGTCGGGCTCTGAGCTCCACTCAAAGCAACAAAGTTTCAATTATAGAAGGTAAATAAACCCCAGATACCTGCTTTCAGCCGGTTGTGGCCACGGAGCTGGAGCGAGCAGGAAGCTTCCCTCCCGCCCGCCCTGGCCGGCTCTGAACTCCTCAAGGCTATGAAGTTTCAATTATAGAAGGTAAATAAATCCCAGAAGAAAAAAAGGAGAGGCTGGCAGCTTCCATCACCAGGGGGCTTCGCCAGCCTGAAAACGGCCCTCAGCCCCTCACCCAGACTGGCCAGGCACAACCCCCCACCCTAAAGGGGGTGTGGCCAGCCTGAAAACAGCCATCAGTCCCTCACCCAGGCTCAAACCTCCACCATGGGGTGAGGGTCCCCAGTGGGGGGGGGGCATGACCAGCCTGCAAACAGCTATCAGCCCCTCACCCAGACTGGCCAGGCACAACCCCCCACCCTAAAGGGGGTGTGGCCAGCCTGAAAACAGCCATCAGTCCCTCACCCAGGCTGGCCAAACCTCCATGGGGTGAGGGTCCCCAGTGGGGGGGGGTTGACCAACCTGAAAACAGCCATCAGCCCCTCACCCAGGCTAGCCAGGCACCCCAGTGG